GATTACCACAGTAAGGTTAGTTAGCACCTCCATCCGACCGCTCACGTAACTGCCATCTTCGGGTGTGTGGTTATAACACTTAAGATCTGCTCTCTTTACGACTTAACTGTTACGCACTACAGTATTGTTTATTATAATCACCAAGCTATCCGTGAGCTCCCCAGAACTTCTTAGAGCTAGAAGTTTATACCCTTTGACCAGCATGTCCTGGCCCACAGCCCCTGGTACCATCCTACCCAGTTGAGATGTTCACTTGTTTGTTTCTATTTGTTTGTTTGTTAAGGAAGTTTTACGCCCGGTGTGGGGCTCAAACTCACAACCCCAAGATCAAGAGTCGCGTGCTCCACTGACTGAGCCAGCCAAGTGCCCCTGGAAATGTTTTTAATGATATCTCCCTCCTGCTGGTGCCAGGCACCGTGGTGAACTCTGTACACGTATTTCTCCTTTTATGCTCATAGCATCATTGCCAGGTAAGGGTCCCCATGTGACAGGTGTGGAAACTGAGGCTCAGAGAGGTTGAGAGAGCTTGCTGAAGGCCACAGCACAGGGGCGGGGAGGGATGAGGATTTGCCGGCGGTCTGATTCCACCCTCCGGCTCCCAACCACTAAGTTGGACCCCCTTCCTGGGGCTGGATTGGACTCTTCCCACCAGGGAAGATTCTACGTGTCTCCTTGGAAAGCGCCAGGTGACTGAGTTCACGTAGTTGTGGCTTAATGGCAATACTGCTCACCCAGGCTTGTGGGTGCTGTGTGTGTCCGATGCTCCACAGATACGACGGACGTGCGATGACGGCACACTCTGTCAGTGGAAGCAGGCTGCAGCAGGCGGGAGAGGAGGGTGGACAGCCTGGCCTCACAGGGGGGCCGGGGCCTCCAGCAGTCCAGAAGAACAGAGTGCTCAGCTCCACACAGAGGCAGCTCCGAAGGGAGAGACGGGGCTGGGCTGGACACGGGGTCAGAGAATGAGGGCACAGTTGCAGGGACTGCTCTGAGGGCCAGCAGGGAGCATAGCTGGGGGCAGGATAGCTCAGCTCCAGGCCCAACTGAGCTCGTCACTAGCTGTGTGACCTTGGGGAAGTCACCATGCTTCTCTAGCCTCAGTCTCCCCTTCTGCAGATTGTGGATCTTAACCCCCATCCCACATTGTTGTCCAGAGAACCGAATCAGGTGACACGGGGCAGCTGCTCAGTGCACAGTGGCAACACCCCAGTGACCCTGGTGAACGGTCACAGCCACGCTGAGCTTTGGACGGGATCTCAAACACCCGCTCCCCACGACAGCCCTCAGGGGGCACATTGCCCTCAGGCCCATTTTACAGATGAGGAAACTGGGACACTGAGAGCTCTGACTGCCCCTCCTTTGTGCTCTGACAATTAACCTCATCAATTTCTGGTGAGCATTTGGCCGGAGCCGGGCTGACGGCTCAGTAGCAAGTGCTGTACCAGTGAAGAGCCTGACGTTTCGGGTTCAAGTCTAGCCTCCACTGCCTTGCTTCATGACCGTTGAGCAGACTATGCAATAGCTCTGAGCCTCAGTTTCCCCCTCTGTAAACTGGGGATACTAATAGCCCCTAGCTAATGGGGCAGTTGTGAGAATTCTCTGCTTCACCTATGTTCATAGGCGTAAAGAGCCTGGAACAGCGCTGGGAACAGAGTAAGGGCTCAATAAGTGTTAGGTTAGTGGCTTTATCATTGCTATTATTATACACATCTGCACAGCCCTGAAAGCCCTTCAAGCGACTTCGTGGAGCAGGAGAAACATCACTTCCCGTCCCCAGGCATCTGGTAGGAATGCGTTGCTTTGCGCAGCCACTTACTATCTGGATAGCCTTGGGCAAGACCCTTTACTCTGGTTCTCAGGCTTCCCATCTGCAAAATGGGCCGAAGGAGGTCTGCTTCCTAGGCTGTTGTGAGGATTAAATGAGGTAATATGCACGTCCACATGGGCATAGCACAGGGCCCAGCGTGTAGTAGGGCCCCTTAGCTCACGTTGGGGTCTCCTGATTCTCTGGGAAGCAATAAGGAAGACAGAGTACCCTGTTTGACTGAGGGAGAAACTGCAGGGAGCCGGGGCCTGATCTTCCCAAGAGGCCTGCTGCCCCGGCAAGGCTAGGGCCAAGCTGAGAGCCAAGCTGAGAGCCAGACAGCACTCTTGTGGTGCAGAAAGAACAGAGGCTTGTCAGCGATGCCTGGACCAAGCTCCAAGTCAAAGGTCACAGTGCTGCCACCCTGTCTCGGGTGTCTTGGGCCAGTTTCCCACAGGTACTTGGCGCTGGAGGGAAGCCAGACCCGCTCAGACTCAGCTGGCCTCTGGGCTGATCCAACTCCAGGCGGAGGGCTGCCCAGGAAGAACAGGCACGCAAGGAGCGTTCGAGCTGCAGGACCCCAGGGACCTTCCAGCCTGTTCATGGTCCAGAGGAAGAGGCCAGGTCCAGAGGTGGGAGACAGCTTGCCTAAGGTCACACACTCAGTGAGCAGCAGGCCAGACAGCAGAGCCTGGGTCTTCTAACCAACACCCTGGGGAGGAAGGGACAGAAACAGAGCAGCGACTGGGTGAGCTTCGGGTCCCGATGAGCTCCTACCGGCTGCTCCTCCACACTCAGATTGGGACAAAGCCGCTGAGAAGCAAGATTGGGGTGGGGGGGAAAAGGGTCCCTCTCACCCTTCAGACACCCTGGTGTGGGCCGAGACAGGGCATCTGCTGGTCACACACTTGCCCAAGATGCTCCCTTCACCCTGGTGAGTCCTCAGCCCCTCCCGAGACCATGAAAACATTGAGCCCGGAAAGGCAGGGAGGCTCACTGCAATGAGGAGTGACCGCCTAGGGAGGGGCTGTGTCAGGAATCCACCCCTGCTCTGTCCAATCATGGGGCAAACACTGCATTAGCAGACCTGGGTTCAAATCCCAGCTCCCCTACTGAGGGTGTGGGGGCGCTGGGATCTCAGGAGCCCCTTGCCCCTCTGAACTTCGGTTTCTTCCCCTGTCAGTGGGGCTAATACTGCTCCCTCACCAACGGTCAGCTCAGGAAACACATGTAAAGGGCCCAGGGCTGTGGTTGACACATAGTAGGTTTGGTCTATTTGAGAAGGAGGCAAGAGACACGGGCCTGGGTGCCTCATGAAGTCAGGAATCAATAAAAGGGCTGTGTGTTGTGAGCTCCCCATGTGATCTTGGGCAGCTCACAACCCTTCTCCGGACCTCAGTTTCCACATCAGTAAGATGCAGGAATGGGGTTAAGTTATTTCTCAGAAGCCTCCAGCACTAAACAAGCCACCCCTGACTTCCTGTCTCCTTCGTTTAACCACCCTCCGTGATGGCTCTAGCAACACTAGGGGGAGGGAGGGAGGGATTGATCTTATTGAGGTTTACATACAGTTAACCATTTTATTTTTTTTTTTAAGTTTGTTATCTTGAGAGAGAGACAAAGTGTAAGCAGGGGAGGGGCATAGAGAGAGGGAGGGAGAGAAAATCCCAAGCAGGCTCTGCACTGTCCTCGCAGAGCCCGATACGGGACTCGAACTCATGCCCCACGAGATCATGACCTGAACCAAAATCAACAGTTGGATGCTTCACCGACTGAACCCCCCAGGCCCGCCTGCAATTAACCATTTTAATGTGTACAATTCCATGGCGTTTAGTACATTCACAGGATTGTGTGACCACCGCCTCGATCTAGGCCCAAAACATTCTCATCGCCCCAGAGGAAAACCTACGCTCAACATTCTCTGTTTCTCCCCTACCCTCAGCCCTGGCAACTGCCAGCGGCTTGCTCTCTGGATTTACCTGTTCTGAATTATTTCACATAAATGGAATCATAAAATATGTGACCTCTGTGCCTGTCTTTCACTTTGCATGTTTTTGAACTTCATCCGCGTTGTAGCACGTGTTAGTACTTGCTTCGTTTTTATGGCTAAATACTCTTCTATGGTATGTGTATACCATTGTGTATGTGTCCATTTGTCTGTCGGTGGGCATTTGGGTTGTTCCCCTCCTTGGGCTGTTGTGAATAATACTGCCGTTATGGGTACTGACATGTGTAAGTATTCATTTGAGTACCTGATTTCAGTTCAGTAGAATTAGGAGTGCAAATGCTGGGTAATTCTACATTTAGCTATTTTTTTTTTAATATTTATTTATTTTTGAGACAGAGAGAGACAGAGCATGAATGGGGGAGGGTCAGAGAGAGAGGGAGACACAGAATCTGAAACAGGCTCCAGGCTCTGAGCTGTCAGCACAGAGCCCAACACGGGGCTCGAACTCACAGACCGCGAGATCATGACCTGAGCCAAAGTCGGACGCTTAACCGACTGAGCCACCCAGGTGCCCCATTAACTTTTTTTTTAAGCTTATTTATTTATTTTGAGAGAGAGAGAGAGAGAGAGAG